AACCCAAAAAGTTCGTTAACAGAGGCATTTGTAACCCGAAGTACCACTGTAATTGTATTTTTATTTATTGTTTTAATGAATTGTAAGCCACCCAGAGTCCCCCATTAGGGGGAGATGGGTGGGGATAAATTTAATAAATAAATAAACCCCCATAAATAAAAAGGTTATAAATTGAAATAACAATAAATATTATTAGAAATGTTCTTCTCACATTGCTTAAAAGCCTTTACTAGTATTCCCACTCACGCCATGTTGTTTTTTCTTCCATCCCTTCCCAGTACAGCTGCCCCATCATCTTATCTCCTCTGCATCCTAACTGTCTTCTTTATTTTCTTTCTTTTGCTAAACTAATAAAAGTATAACTACATAGACCAATATTAAATGATAAACATGCACTCAAAACTGATAAGCATAACATTTTAAAAAAAGTGCGAAAAGAAAAATGTTATTAACAGAACAAAACATTGACCATACTGTTTGAAAGTCGTCTTCCTTGCTCCTTGGTTGAAAAAAATATTGATAAATAAGAGATATCAATAGTCCATTGCTACAAATCTGGTGTTGATTTTTCCTTCTGGTGTTGTGTTCTTTTAGTCAACCCAGATGCGGACCACAAAACTGAGAATAATCACTAGAGTTGGAGTTTTCTATATGCCCTTTGCTGACATTCTTTGCCTGGATTTTTATAGCACACATCTGCAGCTTTAGCCAACCTCTATGCCCTCCAGATCCACAATTTGTGATATTTCAATACATTAAAATTATTGAGGATGTAGCCAAGAATAACATAGGCAGCTTTAATATGCAGCAGTTGATCCAGAATCATATTAACTTTTTTTTTTAATGATTCTACTGAAGAAAAAAAAAAAGGAGCAGAATGAATCTGTGTGCATATTTCTTTGCATGGACTTGTATGGCTCTGTGTGTGAGATCAGTATATGCAGAGAGGGATCAATTAGTGTTTGTATGTGAGAAGCTTTACTTTACAGGCAATTAATTTTAATGACCAGTTATTAAGTCAATGCAAGCATTTATTGGATGGGAAAAATCCCCAGGATTGATTTCAGCTGGCCTTAGCAAACCTAAGTTGACAAACTGGGGAGGCTGGACATTCTAATGGATTTTGCTTTATGTTTATGATTGTTTTTCTGTCAACTCTTCAAGGGTAACTTTTCTTTCATGGTATATTCTTGCAGTTTCTTAAGAATACAGACAGTAATTTAAAAGACGTGCTTATATAATTAGATATGCATAAATCCTGCCACATTACAGGTTTGATGAGATAATCCTTGAAGATACTTCCAATTTGTTTTCAGCATTATCTTTGTTTAAATGTTTCTTAACAATCTTGTTTTGTGCTCCTGGGATATTTTCAAAATATTTACAGCTAATCTTGGCTAAAATATTACTTGAAACATTATTTGCTAATCGGATTTGGTTATTTCCTGCAATGGTTTTACCTACCAGTAAAGCAAATCCCAAGTGTAAAAAAACCAGCAAATTTTTAAAGCCACACTGAAGAAGTCAAGAGCAACAATGCATTTGAATTAGCCAAAGATAAAGAACCAAGACCAGATGATTTATATGCAACAAAATTGCACATTTGCCCATTAAGGCATCACATTCAACAGTCATCTTACTGAGTAAGTCATAATGTCATACACTGGATCACGTGCATGCTATTAGTTCTGCAAATCTTTGTGTCAACTTAATGGAAGCTCTGGATGCTTGATTTGTCTAATCTGCTCAAACTATCTGATTCAGACCATGAAAAGGATTTTTGTACACAGGGCATCCCATCCATAGTGATTGTCACTGGCTCCAAAGGGGGCAGAATTGGGCAAATAAAGCCTTACCCTTTTACATACATGCAAAGGGTGAGGCACATATTAAAAAGGAATGGTGCTTTGATGGCCAATCATGCCCACTGTTTTGAAGCCTGGGCATTTGTTGCAGATACCCCCTATCTGTACATGCACATAAGATATTTGTTTGAATCAAACTGGACATTCAGCCTGTCTCAATTCTTGGATGGTCAATTGCCCATCTCAAATCCATTCAAACATTCAAACTGATTTAAAATTGATCCAATTTTTCAGATCAGTTCAACAAAATAGGTTGGACTTGACTTGCAGAGGCCTAATACAAAGCACCTATGATCTGTTTTTTTGGGAAAAAAGTCCTGCTAACTACAATGCTGTTAAAAATGCACTTGATGGGCTTTAGGGAGGGGGAGGGCTTGTTCTCATATGCTTTGCTGTAACAACCCTGCTTTTCGTTCACATAAAAGAATAATACAAATAACTCAATTGCCTTAGTCATATCCAAAGAAGTAACAGTAATCAAACGTTGGGGGAAGCTCATTTCCCAAGAACTCTCTAATGCTGAACTGAACAAGCACATATAGTTGTGAGGGGTTTTTTCCCTCTTTAATTCTTAGAATTGTAGAAACTGTGGCTGTGTTTGAACAAATGATACATGTGGAGCTTTCGTATTCACAGTACTCATCATGAAATTATAAAATCTAATAGTCTTGGGTGTTTGGCAGCAGGGCTGAAATGTGAACTCTGGTTTAAAAGCTGTTCTGTAAAGCAGATCAATGACTACTTATTAAAAGGAAAATTGAGTGTACATTCTTAAAGGTATATTATAGATAACAGGATTCTCTATAGCTGAAGTATGTAAAGGATACATTTATCTTAGGCAAAGAATAGATGACTTAACATTTTTAAAAGGAGTAAGGTGAAGTCATTCCTAAGTTGCTAAAAAAAATGAAAATCTGTGTGTGTCTCTTATCTGCAAAATAAGCAAATTTTTAAAGTTGTCCAGTTTTGCTTTCTCAGTGCGTTTAATTATTTCCCTATCATATTAAACATTATTAATTTGGTGTATAGCCCTCTTTCTACTCAGAGGGCACTTAAGGTGGCTAATTTTATACCAACTTTTGGAAGGACTTGAAGGGTGAGCAATCTAGGTTTCAGTAGGCCATGTATTACATCCCATTGCTATAGATTCATAAGCACAACAACAAAAATTCTTTATTTCTCGAGTTTCTGCTTGTTTACACCACAGTAAAACCAGATGCTAAATTTAGCTACCATGTAAAGCTATTCATTAAGCCAAGAAACAAAAAGAACGTTCAGGTTACCAAACATTGCACTTCAAATTTATAGCCCAGTAATCAGACACAATGAGAACCAATGTGCTCTAGTGGTTAAGGTGGTGGACTAGGAGCAGGGACACCCAGGTTTTAGTCCTCCCTTAGGACCAGAAGCCAGCTGAGTGACTTTAAGCCAGTCGCTCTCTCTCAGCCCTAGGCTGGAAGGTCAAAAAACATCTATCTACTAACCTTCACTGGACAAAAGTGGTAGATTATGGTCCATAACCTTCAAAGAAAAGACCTTCATTTTACAGTGGATTGATTTAGGTTAATCATAGTAATCAGTCACATTGTTCAAGAGACAAGCATTCTAAGCTGCCACAATATTTCCTTCTGAGTTTCCACTGAGTCCTTATAACAAATAAGTCTGTTTTCTCCCTACCCCTTTGTCAGCATTACGCAGGAATTGTGTCAGCACGCCTCTTCACAGACATGGAACAAGAACCCCAAAGCTCCCATTATCTGTAATGTCCTGGTACTCCAAATAACCCTGGGTAGAGGAAGCAAGTGAAGTTTCACAATGTCCTATAGAGATCCACAAAACACGCTAGTCTATGGTGGATTTGACCCACCCCACAATGATTTTACTGCTGTAAATAAACAAAGCACAGGAAATTCTTTGCTTTCAAGCTGTTGCCAAGAAAACTGCATGGACAACTTAAGCTGAAGGAGATTTTACTTTGCCTCTATTAATCACACAGAACAGATTTATTTCTATTGTAATCCTCCCAAGTTACTTTTACTAGGAATTTTGGAGTGCACATTTCTCCATTCAAGTAAAGTCTGGTTGCAGAACCAGGGTTATATATCTGCCTAGTGAATGGGCTTTTTTTCTTAGCAGTTTACAGCTCACATGATATAGACCAAGAAAAAAACAGGTTCCCACCACTGGTTAAAATCAGGTTTCATCTTTTATCATTTAAATCTTCCCGGGGGGGGGGGGGGGATGCATACTAATCGGCTACAGAAACATATAAAACATAGAAGTGAGATACATAACAAAGTGTTGCAGTATTCCTGTTCAAAATTCTAGCTGGTCAAGATAAGATATGTCATTCCAGTGTACTCTCTGGATATTTTCGGTGGTTTTTCCCCTTTATTGAGTCAGGCTCTTGTGCCTTCTGATTTTGTTCAATCCTCAATGGTTTGTTTTAAGATTAGAAAGTTAAGTTTGTTACAGTTTTTAAAAATTATTTTAAAGAATCTTTTCTTGAATTGCTGCTTATTTCCCTTTTGAAAATGGATGGTACTGTTCTGTATCCAAATGATCAGCACTCTCAGAATTGAGTAATTAAGTACTAGATTTCAATAAAATAAACAAGAAAAGGCAAAGAAAGAAGAAAGTGCTTCTCAACAATAGTAAACTGGTGTTTCTGTCACAATCTAATAAAGAGAATTGGCTTCCATTCCAGCATGACAATTAAAGAGTTTCCAGGGAAGATGGTGATGAGCACCAGGCATTTTTGCTAATTATAAAACAAGTCCTTAGAGTGTTGCAACAAATTTTAGCCTCTCTTCCAAAGCCTCTCACTGGGTAGAAGGAAAAACTTATTTTTTCCCTGTAGTATTTATGACAAAAGCTCTTCTCCCCAAGTTAACTATTTCAGAACAAACCTAACTTGTCAAAATAATTGCATACTTACTTCTCCCTGGCAATTGCCTATTTATTTTTCCTGGTTAATTGAGAATATATCAGCACCAGTGCTTTCTGTTAGTGTTTTTCTACATTCTTCTCTGGGAAAGAAATAGCATTGCAGAACAAAAACCATCTTCTTTAAAACAATATTATTTTGCCTGATGCACAGGAAAACTACTAGAAGATATCTCTTATTCCAGAAATTATAATGAAATCAAGAAAGGTTTTAATGTTTAAAGGCCTGGATTAGGGAGGGTTTGAATGGGAAAATGCAAAACCCTTGATACCAGCCTTATTCCCCCCCCCCATTACTATCTCTCCCCAATCTCTAGCCATTACTAGCAGTGTTAATATAAATGAAATAGATCAAAAGCAGTGCAGGAATCTATTGCTCCGCATGACAACACATCCTGTCAACAAATGTGATTTGTGTTACCCTACAAGGCAGAACATTATTATCAGTTGGTAGAGGAGTGAGCTGAACAGCAATTTGCTTGGGGCATGAATGGAAAGATTTTCAATGGGAGCTGCCCAACTCACTCCTTAACTGCTATCTCTCAGCAACTCTTTGAGTTAGTTGAAAACCAAGTGGCCAATTATCAGTACACAGATGAAATAATTTAAAGGAGACTCATTATGGCATAAAATGTCTCCCGCTCCAGCTAATGCTGTAATACATTTGTTATTTAAGGTGCCATAAATACAGTATTGCACATAGTGTGGGGCAAAATGTCTACCCTTGGAAAAGAATGAAAAAGAGTGCCTCTGATCATGTGCAGAGTCCTTTTCCTTTACCACAAATTATAAATAAGTCCAGGTCACAAATCCACCCTGGCAATGCCTTCATTAGGCCAACAATAGATGCAAGCTTTCAGTTTTACTAGAACTCTTCATCAGGCAACAGGCTTTAAAAAACAGGAGGAAAACAAATGGGATGGTGGGACAGAGTGTGTGATGCTTATGTCTATACAGCTCAGTGTCTTATATGATTTAGATTCACTAGAATATGTCTGCAATTCATAGATTAAACTCTAAAGCTCACGTGCTGATTTTTGATAAGCCACTATCTCTCAATCTGACCTACCATCCTGTGATTTTTATTTTTATTTGCAAAGTTTTCAGTCTAGGAGTGAACAATTACGCTCCCAAAGCAGCAGTTCAGAAGGCTTCTGATGCCACAAAGCTATGCACAATTCATAACTTCAAAGTTCCCCCTTCGTTCAATAGGATGCCAATCTCACATCTTACTAAGCCATTACTTCCTTAACCATGGTTTTAAATAAACAACAATTGGGTTCACACAACACATTATTCTGAAGCTAAACAAGCCACAGTTTGGTTTAGCCCAAGTAAATGCATTCACATTCACATCAATGCATTAAAGGACTACAGGCTAATGGCTTCCCTGGAGGTTTCCTTGGAAGAACAGTACCATGAACACCTGTTGATATTTGCACTAGCACCTGCAGTTAAAACGCTCCCACTGGCTAGACTACATCTTCAATTTAAACATGCCCTCTTTCTAGCCAAGGTTAGCAATACTCGTCGACGCACAGACAGCAGCCTTAAAAGAAGCCTTGATAACTGAACCCCAACCCCACCCAGCATCCCAAGGTAGGCGACCAGATTGTGGGGGAGATATTCTGCTGCTTCGGGGATACGTTCCTGGGCCACAATGTCGTGCTTTTCAACAATTCCCAGCTTGTTTTTCCCCTTCTGAGCCAGAAGCAACAACTATTATTAATGGGTCGGCATAATAAACGTCGCAGTCCTCAGTTAACAAGATGCGGGCAAAGGCAAGGGCGGGGGTCGTAAAGTATACTTCAAAGGCTCTTACGTTTGGCTTTACTCTTCTAAGCAGAAATACTCGAGGGAGATGAAGCAGCATAGGTAGATTTCCATGGCGCCCTCGCTTATGAGCTTCTACGCCCCCTCCCCCGCCCCCAATCTGTGAAGAGAAACTTTGGGGTTTGTCCCAGCCCAGGGAGGGCAAACCCTCGTCCGGCGCTTACCGCTTTGTCGCCTCAGACGAAGAAAAGCTGGGGAGACGCGCTCGCGCCACAGCACTCCCCGGCCCGCCTCCGCTTTGCGCGCACGATCTCAAGCGTTCACCGCCTGCCGACCGGGTAGGCAGCCTCGCAAACTAACAACCAGGAAGGACGCCGTCATACGCTAGCAGCAGCTGGCGATAGGAATGAATGAGGACGGGAAGGAGGCGGGCACTCGGTCTCGGTGGCTTCTTAGTGGATCCTATGAAATCCTTTCTGCCCGTTCCCCCCTCCCGCCGGGAGGAAGGGATTTCCGTATGCTACAGAAACTGGATCTGGTTAAACAGCAGGGCAGAGGGGGGGAAGTTCAGAGCCGCCTTCCCTTTTTGTAGGATGGTGTTGTTTTGCTCTAAATTGGCGCTCTGTTTTCCAGGACTGGGGAAATTCTGGATGAGTTGTGGGAACGGACAAGGAGCACTCCAGAGATTATTTAAAAGTATATGTTATGGCCAATCGCGTGAAGATCAACTCTAGCCCTTTATCGTCTGAAATGTCAGCCCGTTGAGAAATCTCAACTAATTTCTTTGCAAGCTAAGTCCCATTGAAATCAGTGGGACTCACTGCAGCAGTTCTGAAGACATAGTCGCAATTCTATCGTTACGTAGGTGCACTGTAGCAGAAAAGCTGTCTGAGGCCGGTCACACAACCACGCATAGACCAGCAGCGAGCCCTGCGCACCACGTCCGCATCCCGCCCGCAAGAGAGGCTCCCTAGTGGCGGTTTTAGGAGCTCCGCTTGTCAACGGAGCTTTCTGTCGGGGCGCGCGTGCGTGTGGACAGCGCGCGGCGTGTTGATCCCTGTTGGGTTGGTTACCGAGCAGGCCCCCGTAACTGGGTCCTCCAGTTGGCTCTACAGCTGTGCTCTGGGACCATTCCCTTCCTTTGGTGCCTGGGATGTCTCCGGGGCATGGTCAAAAAGTCAAGATGACACTGCGATGGTGCAATTGAAGCTCCTGGATTTTGTTTTTGTTTTATATGTGTGCGCGCGTGTGTATATATATAAACATAACACATATATGATTTATATTTTATATATAGGTATGTATATATATAGTTTTATACACACACACACACAGTCTCTGTCTGTCTGTCTATCTATCTATCTATCTATCTATCTATCTATCTATCTATCTATCTATCTATCTATCTATCTATCTATCTTGGCACTGTTGCAGCTGTCAGCTTGACTTTTTTGACCATATCCTGAGGACACTCCTGCCTAGTGCTCCAGGCACACAGGTCTTGTTTGTGCAGCAGTTGGACCACAAAGTCTGTTTCCTGAGGCTTTATTCCTTCCTTATATTGTCTGGCTCAACTGGCAGACTGGGCAATGGGGCCACATGAATTACAACTGCACATCCCCAATATTTATCTCATTTAAACTATGCCACCCATTTCCCCCTCACAGGTTGACGCTGGTGCCTTCCCTGTTCATCATAAGTTCATGTCAGATTTTCATCATTTCATTGCTGTAGTGGTTGAATGCCCACTGCTCCCCATCCTGAAACTCATGGCAGACTGCCACTAATCATACCACATGCTGGATTGTGGGGCGATGCTATTGCTCTGGGTGCATTCTGGAGATATTTGTCCTGCATGTGCTTTGTTCACCCATTTTGAACTGTGGTGTGTAGTTACGTGGGGCTTTGAATCGGGGCATTTCATAGGCAGGAGCAATGCCTCAGCCTCTTAGGGCAGCTGATGGCCAATTGAAGGAGAATATGGGGAAGACTAGATTCCAGAAGTGGCCATCACTCCACAATTTCCTTGCAGACCTCCCAAAAGATGGTCAATGATGTCTCAGTCACTGGTGTCTTGAGATGATTTTGTTATGTGGAGCTGAACCCTCCCATCTCCCATGGAAGTAATTGCTGATAAATTGGGGGTTTCTGCTAGCTCAGCTTCACCTCCTCTGTGCCAACAGCAGCTTTCCTTGTGATTCCACCTGTGTGTGTGTGTGTGTGTGTGTGTGTGTGAGAGAGAGAGAGAGAGAGAGAGAGAGAGAGAGAGAGAGAATTCCTGCTGACTCCCTGGACTAATCCCTGCAGTTTTCTTGACAAGGTTTTTTCTGAAAGTGGCTTGCCCTTGCCTACTTCCTAGGGCTGAGAGAGAGGGACTGGCCTAGGGTCACCCAGCTGGGTTCGTGCCTCAGGCAGGACTAGAACTCCCAGTCTCCTGGCTTCTAGCCTGATGCCTTCACCACTACACCAAACTGGCTCTTGGTTCTACTGCTGCTTGGCTCCATTTCCCTGTATTCATCCCTGAGGTCAACAACATTGCGGCTGATGTAGCACAGATGCCAATTAAGTGTCGATGGGGGCTATGTGGAAGTGAGAGGAGACCATTGCTCCCCTGGAAATCTGGGGCAAAGCCAAGGGGCAGGAGAAGCTCCAGTTCAGTGGCTGAAACTTCTGTGTTTGGAAGGCTAGCAAGAGAACTGCAGGCAGGGCATTTCCAGGCTCAGTAGCAGAGAGTGGAAACAAACAAAGCCAATGTGGCTGGACTACAAGCGTGTCATAACCCACAATGCCAGGTCAAGTTACAATCCTGCATGATGCCTGTTGTACCAGAAGCTGCGCCACATTCCCTGCAGCCAGAAATGTATGTGTGGCTCTAAAAAGTGGCAAAGGCATCCTGCAGCCACAGCCAGCCAAAGGAGTGGACGCTCCTCCAGCCAGTGCTGGGGAAGAGTAACTACTGCACAACGGTGCCTGGCTTTGGCCATGATTGAAAATTTTCTGCCTGGGCCACTAGCATGCATGTTGTGGCTGTACTGCTGGGAAGGAGTAGGCTATAATCCATGCAGAAGCTGGGAATATGTTTTCTGGTCTAACAATTCCTGCACTGTTGCAGAGCAGGGCCCCCTACTTCCCTGCCACGTAGGAACCCCTCCTTCCAAAAACGGGACATTGTCCACCTTGCATAAGCCTGCCTATCATGCTGATGCTGACCCAGTCCTGAAGGCAGGGTCACCATAGCATGAGTTCCCATGCCCACGCACCCAACAACCCCGAGCCCCACAGTCCCAAGTGGAACAATACACAATGCACACAGTGCTACTTCCAAAGTAGCTTCTCAGTTTGAAAGAAAGCAATTCTAGGGGCAGGCATGTTCCTGCAAGCAGGGAAACAGTACTCAACTGGCTGCTGAGCAAGTGGCCAAAGATTTGGCCTGGGAGATCCACAAATTTCATTGCTATTTACCCTTCCCCCCAAAAAGGGGGGGGGGGGGGGGGCGGAAGGGGAGCTCTTACTTTTTGAACTCTCATACCATATTCAGCTTTTCCTCAGCCTCCCTTCAAAGTCCAGGTCCTTTTTATCCCCTAAAACAGAGTTTTCCAAAGTAGCCAATATCAGCGGGACTATCCAAGGGTTCGGTGTTGTTGTTATTATTATTACTCTTATTCATAGTATTATTAGTTAGCATAGTATTCATTAAATTATTTTCATATAATAAATGCTTGGGGTCGATGAACAATTTGAAACTCCATGAAGGAGTTGATGAGCTGAAGAGATTGGGACTCCTGCCCTAAAAGGAAGGTGTTCGGGAAAGTGAGTAGTGGAGCCCCCAATTCGATTTCTGTTCCCATTGAGCTTCACCTGTCAGAGAGAAAATGAACGACCAGTTCTCCTTGATGTGTGGTGGATAGGCAGGTGCTTTGAACTGGAAAGTTAGCCAGTTGCCCAACCCACTGGACACCAGTATGGAGAAAGAATTGCAAGGAGAATTGGGCCTCCTGCTTCAGCCCTACACATACTTCTCCCCTACACGTGACCTGTCTGTCAGGCTAACTCAGTGTTTCTCAGCCTTGGCAGCCTGAAGATGTGTGGACTTCAGCTCCCAGAATTCCCTAGTCAGTAAGGCTGGCTGGGGAGTTCTGGGAGTTGAAGTCCACACATCTTCAAGCTGCCAAAGTTGAGAAACACTGGGTAACCAGTGCAGCGGAGGAAGGAAAGTGGAAAGGAGCAATGGATAATGAATGAGCTTCGGCCTCCGCTAATGCTGAGGTGAAATGACAGGGCTGCCAGTATGTGGCTGTTGTTGGCACCACTGAGAAGCCACCTGTGGCACAGAGCTGGCAAAATGGTATCAGTCCTGCCCAAAGTAATAAGAACAGTCAAAAGAATGGTCATGCAAAAGAAAGAGAGAAATTTACTGAAGGCTCCCTTATAAATAAAATTTTTATTTTTTCATAGAATGCCCTGAAAGGAAAAGAACAGAAAAAAAATGAAAGCAAAACCCCACTATATATACTTCCCTGTGACTGGAGAGGTGGAAGGTGGCTAATTATGAAAACATGAAAGCAAAACCCCACTATATATACTTCCCTGTGACTGGAGAGGTGGAAGGTGGCTAATTATGAAAACCTTCCTTTCCCCTCTGTTCATACTGAAGTCACTTCCATGTCTTTATAAACTGCTCTTTATATTGCTGCTCCAGTCTGGAAATTCTTCTTTTAATCTTTTGTGACTGCTCTGATATAAAACTACACATCAGGCATAATGATTCTGTTTTGAAAACACATTCACTGCATTTTGGCCACACGTGTGATAATCTCTTCCTCTAGTAAGCTCAGCAAACTTGCTGTGTGTGTGTGTGTGTGTGTGGGAGATAGAGAGAGATCGAGATTTCCTGGCAGAGCTGGTAGAGAACCTTGTTTTAAACACACTGGAAATCCAGTAATGAGTTCAAAATTTAATACCAATTTATCCATTGCCATTTCTTTTCTGAAACATCTTAGACCTCAATGCAGCTAAAGGTAGTGATGAATACAGCTGCAATCCACCCCTATTTGAAAATTAAGTCCCACATTCAGCATTATACTGCATTCACTATCAACGAGATAATTTAACAGGGCTATTGGATACAAAATGAGAGCCAGTTTGTTGCAGCGGTGAAGGCACCAGGCTAGAAAGCAGAAGACTTATGAGTTCCAGTCCCGCCTAGGCACAAAGCCAGCTGGGTGACCTTGGGCCAGTCACTCCCTCTCAGCCCTAGGAAGGAGACAAGGGCAAGCCACTTTCAAAAAATCTTGCCAAGAAAACTGCAGAGACTTGTCCAGGCAGTCACCAGGAGTCAATACTGACTCAAAGGCAGCCCCCCCCTCCCCAAAAACCAAGCAAACTGAACACAGA